AATAATAATAATAATAATAATAATAATAAAAGGCAGCAAGCGAGAACATTCACGAGAGTTGGATTAGCCATTACTCAACGAAATCAAAGCGATGGCGTTGACCGCCTATTCAACACCGCCTCCTCGTTTTGAATAAAAAGCACAACCTGATCCCTCTAAAGCCAATTAACCATCCTCGAGTCTGTTCTATCTTGTTAAATCCCGAACTTGCCGAAACTCACATATATCCAATCAAAAATAAGACACCGTTTCATCAAAAGCAATCCCGAACTTCCGAAAACTCATAAATACCCAAATCAAATAAGACACCTTTTCCTTAAAACGCTGCACTATTTCCCTCTTGAAAAACAAATCTTTCGATAATTTCTAAGATTTCACCTTCTTTTAATTACATATATATACCCAGAACCTTAATTTTGTTTCTATCATAAAAGCTTAATCCCTCTTCAATGGCTTCTTTTGAGAGATACGGCTCTCAATCCTACGCCCCCTCAGCTCCAACTCTCCCCGAAGATCACAACTACACCTCTACTACTACTACTACTACGCCTCCTCCAAACAGCCATGGCCATGATCACACCCAATTTCACAGCCATGGCTCTTCTCCTTCTTCTTATGCATATGGGCAATCAAGTTCTTCTTCACATGGTTATGGGCAATCAAGTTCTTCTCCATATGGATATGGGCAAATGGGTTCTACGTCTTCGTTTTCTTCTTCGTATGGATATGGGTACGTGGGTTTTCCTGCTGGGACGAGTCCTGATGTGATAAGGAGTTTTGAGATGGTCGACAGAGATCGAAGTGGGTTTATTGATGATAACGAGTTACAGCAAGCGCTTTCTTCTGGGTACCAGAAATTTAGCCTTAGAACTATTCGTTTGCTCATCTCTCTCTTCAAGAATCCCAATGATCCAGCTCCCAGAATTGGTATGTTGATTGTTACTCTCTCTCTCTCTCTCTCTCTCTTCTTTTTGTCTCTTTTCAATATGTTTCTGTGGATTAATTGATTGCATATTAGAGCATAACATAAGTTTGGTTAAATTATCGTACTTTTTGTGATTGGTCCGACGTTTGAAAGCTGTGTCTAAGCGGTAAATTCTCTTATATTCTATCACAATTGGATTTCTGGGTTCTTTTGGTTTCTTTTTTGGAGTTTAATTTGAGTATAATTTTTGAGTTGAATTTGAATTATAATTTGAGTTAAATTTATAATTTAAATTTGTGTTTAGTTGTGTACATTTAAGTTATAATTTAATATAAAAATCTTTTTGAGTTTGTGTTTGAG